GAGTGTCATGTCACATAGCTCACTGCAACCTCAAACTCCTGGGCTCAAGTGAGTTCCCTAGCTCAGCCTCTGGAGTAGCTGGGACTACAGGCGCAGGCCATAATGTCCAGCTAAGTTTTTTCTATTTTTAGTAGAGATGGGGTCTTGCCCTTCCTCAAAGCTGATCTCAAACTCTTGACCTCAAGCAATCTTCCTGCCTCACCTCGCAGAGTGCTAGGAATACAGGTATGAGCCACCACGCCCAGCCAGAATTTCTTTTAAAAAATTGTAAAAATAGGTCAAATGGCTTCCATACACTCTTAACCCACCTTTCCCAAATGTTATTATCTTATATAACTATGGTGAAATTATGGAAATCAGGAAATTAACATTGATAACAATACTATTTACTAATCTCTAAACTGTATTTGTATTTTTATCAGCTGTTCCAGTAATGTCTTTTGTCTGACTGTAATCTAATCTAGGATCAAACATTGCATTTAGTTATGACTCATTTATCTCTTTTAATCTGTGGTGTTTGTCAAATGGTGGCTTTTCTATTTCTACCATTGTGACTCCATTTATCAATTCAAATTCTCCTATAGGAAAGTTTGGCCTTCTTTTCCATTTGCTTAAATATTCAGTTATTTATTTTTCTTAGTTTGGACTTTTAGATATTTGTTTTATTCTATGGATTATAATCTATTAATAAAATTTTTAATTTTATTATTCAAATTGTCCAAGATTTGGCCCCTTCAGTTTGGTTCCACCTTTTTTTTTTCTTCAATAAGTTGCTCTCTTTTTATAGCACTTCCTTACCTTTTGGTACCAAAAGATGTTCCAGGCTCATTTGGTAGTTTCCCCGCCCCAGTTTTGCAACCAGACATTTCTCCAAGTAGTTCCGGATCTTTTTATTGAAGGATAGTGTTTAGAAACCAATGTGTGGGTGCTAAGTGCATTCATTGCTACTGGGATATCATTGTTCCTAGGTGATCTCAGACCACAGAGCTGGCGGAAAAACAAACAAAATGCACACACACACACACACACACACACACACACACACACACACACACACACACATATTTCTACATCTGTCTGTTCCTGTCTATCAGTCTATTGAAATACATATTATGAACCACGAGTTCATAGTGATACCTCTGATTCAAGTCCAATGCCATGGAGTTCATTCTAGCTTTTCCCCTTTCTTTGTCTCTACCCTCATTGTATATACTGGTGTCCAAAGTGCTTAGTTCTTTTCTTCTACATGCCCTTCAGTGTGGTTATGTTATATATTTGTAATGCAATTCATTTGTTACTTTTTGTGTTTATTTTAGGTTACCCCCTACGTACTGGTTTATTTTAATTCTTTGCTCTTTTATTTTGGGAAACATTACCGTGATTCTAAATGTCAAAACTATACAAAAAGATATATTTGGAGACTTGCCACTTCCCCTCTATAACTTGCTTTCCATTTTTATTCCCCTAGTTCCCACCCCAATAGCTCCAAAATGCTTGTAAGATAGAATTCGAACTTATGTAATTGACAAGTACATCATATTCTGGCTGCCTCTGATTTCTTGTTATTCCTCAGATATGACTGACTCATTCATGCCTCCCTGCCTTTGTACATCCTCTCCCTCTGCCTAGAATGATGTTTCTATTACCATTCTTACCTTGTTTATCTATCATTTTTCAAAACCCATTTCCATTCTTACCTCTATGGGAAGACTTCCTTATCTTATCCTCTTCCCGCTTGCATTTCACTGCCCCTACGTTTAATAATTCTGTCCTATTAATTTGTAGCTCCCATAGCACTTGTGCATGTTTCATTACTTCTATTTACATTTAATTTAAATCACTGATACACAGGCTTGCCAGCTTCTCTATGCTGTGAGCTCTAAGACACGGACTTTTATCTTCGCTTTCCAGCAACTAGGAGCATCCAGTTCCTTACATTCCAGTTATACAGTATAGTCAGTTCTTTTCACTTATTTTTCCTTTACTCCTCTTTTCATTTCCCTCATGATATAAGCCCATGCTGATGTGATGTAAGTCCTTGTAATGTGATACCCATGGTCTTGTCATCTCTGGCTTTTGCATAGTCTCTGTCTCTCCTAATGTATTGGGCCACAGCCTTGGTAACTTAATGACTTCCTGTGATTCCCTGGGAAGTTACAATATCTAATTAAATTATAAATATGGTGAAATGTAGTTTACTGTGTTTAGTGATAGGATGAAATCAAGGTATAGAAGTTGTTGAAAACACGCAGGTTTAGAAAGTCAAGATTGTATCATCTGTCAGGTTTGCTTCTTCACTTGAAAAAACTGAAAACTTCCTGCCCATTTCATCTGTTAGATCGGAAGAAATTTTTGTACTGGAAATAAAACCCTTCATCGGTCTTTTAAGAGCCTTAGGAAGCTTTAAAATTGTCATTATTTTTGTTCAAAAGGCAAGTTCAGTGACCTTCCAAATTGTGTTTCTAAGCTGCTTATGTTACTTTCTATTCTGTATGGCTTATTCAGCAGATTATGTTAAAATGCAGGGCCTCCTTTCTCCCAGTCTCTTCTCCCATCTGTTACTTTCCTCTCTCCTTCTGTATTGCATTCACCTCCTGCCACTCCTGTGTGAGCTGTCTAATCATAGCTCATTCTGTCAAATCCTGCATGAAACTTGGAAGAGGGGTTTAGTTGCAATGCAGGTATCACCCTGTAAATGAAGGAGAGCCTTCGAGAAGCTGCTCTGCTAGGGAACAAGGCTTGCCATCCCGACAGTGTTTGATATCCAGGGATAACGGGCTATGGGAAAGCATCCACTAAGTGATGTGGCTCATAGTCTTTATTTATAAAAATTACGTAAAATTATTTTTAACGCAAAATGAAAACAAGTGCATCATAACTGTATACCTTAGTGGATTTTTCCAAATTGAACATAACCATGAAACTACCCAACTCAGGGAATCCAATATTACTAGCCCACCAAAATACCCTCTTCTCACCTCTCCCAGTCTTTGCCTCCTCCCACTCCCATTCCAAGGTAACTATGAGACTATTATGACTTACATAGCATTATCTATTTCTGAACTTTATACAACAGAATCATACACTGTATTCTGGCTTCTTTGTCTCAGCATTATTTTTGTGAGATTGTTCAGTGGTGTTGTCTTAGTTATGGTTCATTTATATTCATTGCTGTACAGCAGGCAAAACCTTATCCTGCACATTGGCTGTTTTTGTAAATAAAGTGTTATTGGAACACAGCCAAACCCATATATATATATTTTTTTTTTTTCTTTTTTCTTTTGAGACAGGGTCTCACTGGGTTGCCTGGGCTAGAGTACAGTGGCTGATCATAACGCTCTGCAACCTCAAACTCCTAGGCTCAAGAGATCCTCCTGTTTCAGCTTCTGGAGTAGCTGCTACTACAGGCATGCACCATGACATCTGGCAAATTTTTTTCTATTTTTTGTAGAGACAGGGTCTCTCTGTATTGCTCAGGCTGGTCTCAAACTCCTGACCTCTTACCTCAGCTTCCTAAAGTGCTGGGATTACAGGTGTGAGCCACTGTGCCTGGCCTTTCTTACTGTTTTGTAAGGCATCTTTATATATTCTGAATGAGTCTTTTGGTAGATACACGTGTTGCAAATATTCTGTTTTGAGGCTTCCACTTTTATTCTTTTAATGATTTAAAACATTTTTACGAATCATAATGCAACAACATGGACAAATCTCACATACACTAAAGAAAGTGAAATTAGATGCAGTATTTGTAGATACATGCACAGTTATCCTCAGCTTTGTCATACCACCACCTGGAAACACCACTGTCTCTTGGAGCTTAATAAGATTTTTATGTTTTTCAGTCCTTTTTAATTGAGAGTGTGACTTGTTATATTGTTGTTTGTCCTAGGGTTTAGACAAGGACAGAGTTCTTAACTTTTTTCAATATTAAAAGCAATTTTACCTGTAATCCTAGCACTCTGGGAGGCCAAGGCAAGCGGATCGCTCAAGGTCAGAAGTTTGAAACCAGCTTGAGCAAGAGCGAGACCCTGTCTCTACTAAAAATAGAAAGAAATTAGCTGGACAACTGAAAATATATAGAAAAAAATTAGCCGGGCATGGTGGCACATGCCTGTAGTCCCAGCTACTCGGTAAGCTGAGGCAGTAGGATTCCTTGAGCCCAGGAGTTTGAGGTTGCTGTGAGCTAGGTTGACACCACGGCACTCTAGCCTGGGCAACAGAGCATGACCGTCTCCAAAAATAAAAGTAATTTTAGGGTCTTAAGAGTCTCTAGTTCTAAGGGTTTGTTAAACATTCCATGGTATGCTGAATATTCAATGATTTTTATTAAGCAAGATGATGTAGTATCAAATATTAGAATCAGATACATACTTTTTTTTTTTCCTGAGAACTGTTTCCTCTGACCCCTAAATTTAGGAATTTAGAAATTGAAGCTGATTTATCTAGCTTCAAGTTGCATTGGATTGAATAGGTGAGTTGTGTGAAGTGATTTTTGAGATATGTTTAATAATTCTGTTTTTTCCCCTTTTTGTTTCAGTTTTATAAACAGCAGTCCAGGGCAATATTATTTGATAAAAATGTATTTTGTTGGGGTTTTCTTTGTGTCATCCTGTAGCACCTGAATGTGTTTTGGTTTTTGATGGTCAGATCTACAATAGAGGCAGATGATTTTGAAAATATTTAAAATAACTGGGCCTGGTCATGAATGCCTGTAGTCCCAGCTACTTAGGAGGCTTGAAGCAAGAGGGTCTCTTGAACCCAGGAGCTTGAGACCAGCCTGGGCAACATAGAGAGACCCTGTCTCAAAAAAAAAATTTTTTTTAGAGATACTCTAATGCTGAAGACATTTTCTATAATGTGTAATTTAAGTGCAACTCCTTACCTTAGAGAGGTTGATTTGCCTCTTTAAGAATAAAGATATTTGTGGAAGTTATGCAACTATTGTATTTTAGTGATATTTCTTATATATTTTAACAAGTTTTTTTCTTATTTTATTTCAGGTTATACATTATTAGTGTGGATGATGTTGTCTAAATTTCTATAGCCATGGCACAAGAATACAGTAAGTACTATGCCATACTTCCTATGACCTACCTACTTTCTAAAGTGTTGAATTTCTGTGTTTAAATTTCTGATTGGAGAAATGAAAATAAAGAAACAAAAATTGTTTAAATCTACTTTTCTCAAAGAGATCAACTCATTTGGTCCATCCACCTTTTGAGTCTATAGCTTTATATACACATATTCACAATAGGGTTTATTTCATGTTGTTACACCCCTTATTGCCCAGGCTATTCCTTGTAAATAATAACGGAGTGGACGAGAAGGTTGGATGCATATCGTGCATCCTTTCTATTCCTGATGTTACGGAGTTGAGGAACTGACTGCAGCTGCTGAGCCCTGATTAGGAGCAGTCCTATCCCTGCGTTACTAGTGATTGACTCTTGAACTCTGTCTCCATCAGCCAGTGTTGAGTGTTACCTGGCCTGCAGTTGGTTTCAGGGATGGTCCAATAATCCTGTTCTAGCCAGGGTGACTCTAGTGTAGGTTTGTTTGCCTAGAACTTCTGGCAGAAGTCTTCTCATACTTAGCACAGAGCAACAGGAAGATACTGCCTCTTTTCTTCTGGACGTTGTTGTGTGCTAGTGTGAGGTCTGGCATGGCTGCAGTGTTCTGGCTTCCAAGCAAGAAGCCACAGTGGGTGGAGGACGGAGTCCAGAATCCCAGGGAAACCGGCCCTGAAGCTTGCCCCTTCTCTGACGTCCAAGTGTTTGAGCCAATACATTTCCTTTTTGTTTAAGCCAGTTTGAGTTGGGAGCCAAAACATCCTAAGTGATTCACTTAATCTCCATTTTATTTTTAGTAATCCATTAGTTTCTCCCTGGGGAATGTGGGAGTAATTGCAAAGTGAGGCAAAATAATACTGTTAAATTAAACTGGCAGAGCGTGTTGGTGTTGACTGGCATACTCTTCACTCTTAACAGTTAGCAGGTAGTGATTTAGTGTTCAAAGACATGAGAATAAAATAGATCACTTTCAGATTTTCTCTTTTTTTCTCCCAGAAGATTTTGCCTTTTACTCAACCAACTTGGGCTGTGAATGCTGAGAAGGGTCTTGGTCTGCTGGCATAAAACCATCCCTTCGTTATAGGTGTGTTTGGCAGTGCAGATTTGCTCTTTGTGTTTTCTCAGAACTCAATACCCACACTTGTAATTCCTCGTTTGCTTTTATTTTTGAAAAATTAATAGAAATGTTTCAAATAGAAAAATACATAAGGCATAACATGACAAATATCCACATGTACCTCTTTCCACAACATGCAAGTGAAATGGAATGTTTACCAATTCATTGCACAGTAAAAACCCAGGGTAATCCTCCCTAATGGCATTTTCTGTTAGGTTGGCTTAGGGTGGGAACCCAAAAAGTATGTATAGGATGAAATGCGGTTAATGGAAAACTTAGATAGTGATCGTAAAGCCTGTGAAACAAAAGCCACAGGAGTCTGGAGAGTCCAGAGGTTGTAAATCTAACTCTGACCACAGACACTTGCAGGAGTGCCCATATTCCTGTCCCCCCTGATAAGGATGAAGCTACTGCCCCCCATCTCTGCAGGATGAGACCAAGAATGCAGGGTCCCAGAAACTGGTTGTTTGAAAAAGAATTTATTACAGTGGCTGTTCTGACCCAGTTGCTCACTCCCCCTGGAAAAACCCTTTATAAAACCCAAGGCTTTCCCCTTCCTTGTGGTGGATGCTTTCTTTGGCCTCCACCCATCTGCATCCAGATGCTCAAATAAATGGCATTTTGCTACACTTGAGGCTTCATGTGTCTCCTTTTGGCTCTGGACCTAACACTTTTCTTTCTCTGCCCTCAGCAGAGAAACCACAATCCTGGTTTTTTGGTCTTTGTTATTAACATGCATTCATTGTGCTTTTACTACATATGTATTGTATGATTTTTATATGCTTTTGAATTCCGGGTAAGTGTAGATGCTATGTGCATTTATTGTTTAAAATCACAAGAGAGTTTAGAGTAAATTCAGGACCACTGAAAGAGGCTATAAATTTGTTTTTAGACACTTGTCAAAAAAAATCTATTATTAGGCATCCTAGTGATATGTAATAAAATGTGTTAGATTTTAAATGGTTGATGAGTTTGAATCAACATGCTGTCAGCTTTTATCTTATCTACTGGTATTATACAAAGCACTTTCCTCTGGTACTTGGTCTGCCATCGAGTTTGTCTTCTGAGCCTGCTTCTGCACTCCTGTGCAGGTTTGGAATGTATAGGATACTTTCAGATCACTTGTATCATTAATGAGCTTTTTAGAGTATGTTAGCTGCTGTTCCATTTAAATAGCTTCAGTCATCCCGTGTTCAGAATGCGTGCTTTTGGCAAACTTAAGATAAGTCTATGCATTTTTCTGCATTGTGACAATTATCGATCATGTCTACAAAATCTACTTCTGTTCTTTATAAATTTGTTAGTTTGTCACTTTGTTGCTTGTATTGGTGGTAGTAGCTACTATAGAAGAGACATCCACTCCCACAAGCTGACTCTGAAGTTGTACCTTGACGCAGTGCTGTACCTTGATCACTTGGGCGCCTCCTTGGAAGTCTTTGCTGTGTGCTTATTTCACCTTATTTCCTTTGGGACCCAACAGTGGGTCTCAGCAACCATTTTGTGCCTTGTTCTTTTTGTTTCTTTTTGAGACAGGGTCTTGTTCTGTCGCCCAGGCTAGAGTGCAGTAGGGTCACCATAGCTCACTGTAACCTCAAATTTCTGGGTTCCAGCCTCAGTCTTCTAAGTAGCTGAGACTACAGGTGCCTACCACAATGCCTGGGTAATTTTTCTATATTTTTTTAGAGCTGAGGTCTCACTATGTTGCTCAGGGTGGTCTCGAACTCCTGGGCTCAAGAGATCCTCCCACCTTGACCTCCCAAGCTGCTGGGATTATAGGTGTGAGCTACAGCTCTCAGCCCTGTATTTTCTTCGTCTGAACCATATCTTAAGTCTTTTAACTTCTACATTCAAAAAACTAATTCTTTTACTGTTGGAGGATTCATATTTCCCTTTGTTCTTGCTCGGAATGTTGCCTCCATGGAACTGAATAGTCAGTTCTACTCAGAAATCATTAATCCTTTCAACTTGGGGACCTGATGACTGATAAAGTATCAGAGAAAGATTTATGACAATGAAGAGAATTTCTGGTTCTTTTTTTTTTTTTTTTTTTGATGGTATCAATTTTGCTTAAATGTTTAGCATTTGGAAAAAAAAGTAGACGTAAAAGATCTTTCCCCCCTTAATTCATGCATAGTATGTCTATGTTACAGGAAAGAAAACAGTAACATCTTTTGTTGAAATTGAATCTTAAGTTTTTGAAAAATCAATTCAGTGAACTATTACTCTTATTTTTGTGTTTTGTGGGACGGTGTCTTCTTCTTACTATTATTATGTTATATATAAAAGGACTTGTAGACTTGGGTTGTTTTTATGCCTCAAAATGAAATGCTGCCCTGTGGGGGCTAGCCCCCTGGGCTGCGGGAGCTTCTAGACAGTGACTCAGCTCTGTAATTAGGTCCTGCTCTCCGCACCCTTGTTGACTTGAAAGCACTGGCCATAGACCATTTAGTCTGGGAAAGCAATACATGAATCATCTAAATTGGCACAAATTATCCGGAATGCTACTAGATGTTGCCTTCCCTTTATTCTGTGATTGAGGGAATTAGAAAAGGAGACTTGTTCTTTGAAAGTACTACAGAGGGTCAGTATGCATTTGTGAAAATAACTCTCTTCCTGACAGAGTGAAAAGCACTGGAATATTTGACATTTGTAAGCAGTTCTGATTTCACGGTTCTGTCTTAGGAGCTTCCTCCATGCTTTGTACCTTTTCCCTTGTGAGGAAGACACATCCGTGGCCTGTCTTCCAGCTCCTGCTCCTAGCCCCGGTCTGACCCTTCTGGAAGGGCAATGTGGGGCTGTCTTGCTGCCTGGGCCGCTGCTTTGACTCCCCCCCCCCCACAGCACAACTGAGGCAGGGGGAAATCCTGGAAGCTTATATTGTGTCTCTTTTGCTTCCTTCTCACTAGTCCCACAAGTTAATTTCTCTCATCTTTGGAATGGAAATTTGATGTGTTTTCTCCCTTTTCTCAAAATAGTGGGTCAGCAGACTTATGGAGGCCTATTAGGCACTTGTCAATGAAGTGGGACAAAGTCATGTTTTTGTGTTTGCTCAATCATCAGTTGGCTTCCTCGTGCTCACCACGGGCTGTGCTCTAACCCCGACTATGGAACGGGAGGCAGAGTAAACCACCCCATGTATGCCTCCGCCCAGGCCCTGTGCCTAGTGTGTGTTGCGAATGGCAGAACATGGAGTTGCGGGGGGGGAGTAAGTTGATGATGTTTCAATCTATTTAAAAAATCAAAAGTTTTCTTTCTTTCTTTCAATTTATATCAAAACTTTAATATAATATTGTAAAGGTGAAGACATTTTTAAGTCACTTAGAGATAAAATCAAGACTTTCCCTAGATAGAGAGTAACTTTTCATTTGTTCTTTTCTTTTCGTTTTTTTCTGATGGGGTATTAAGGGTCTTTCCCAGTGCTCATTATCTTACTGTGTCTGCTCTAAAGAGAAAAGGACAAGCAGATTTATCCATTCAGTAGCAAAAAGACTAGATTTTCAACTTGTAGTGTGAGTTGATTCTTAATATTTGGATAAATCTTTATTTTCATGTTAGAATACATGTGAGTGGGCATCTCAGAGGAATGCATCTTTTGGCAATAAGGGGAAGAAAGCCACAGCTCACTGTGTAATTTTGTGTTTCATAGGCCTAACTGCTGTTTTGTGTCTGTGGGTATAGATGCACATGCGTGTGAGTTAGGTTGTTTTTGTTAGTCTAGGGCATTGCTGTTTGTTAGACCATGTCGCTTTCATTTTGGAGTTGCTGAAAATCACATGTTCAAAGTACAAAATTATCGTTTGCATATCTGCTGAGTTAAACTGAAAGATTTTAGAGTGAGTTTCTAAGAAACTGATCAGTAAAATATTTCTTGTCTGTAAA